CCACTGTGCCACCGTACCTCCCTCCAGAAAGGCGGGTAGGAGGGCAAGCGGGACCTGGAGGTCAAGGTGGTGAGTTGGGGCGGGAGGACTCCAAATGAAGCGTGTTGGGCACCGCCAGCCCTGCGCCTATGTACCTAGCACTCGCTCTCCGAGGCCGCCCAGCTCCAGGTAGGCGTTCTGAAAGGCGTCCTTCAGCTCCTCGTCCAGCGGCTGCTCTTTGCCATGGAGCAGGATGGAGCTGCAGCGGTCCAGGATCCGTTCCGGGGCTCCCTTCATCACCAGCAGGTGCCGGGGCTCAGAGGTGTTGGGGTTCTTATGAATGGACAACTGTAAGAGACCGGGCAGGTGTAAATATTGACCCAGGGAACACATAGCAGCCCTGACCATCTCAGGTTTGTTACTGGCAAAACAAGCTTCCTTCTTCCTGAGCTTTGAAGTGTCTGATACTTTGTAACATACTTTGAATGCAACAGAAACCACCACTGAACTAAAACCCTAACAATAATAACAACAAAAACAATGTGTAATGATGATGATGACCTGTCTCATCCATTTGTGACAGGTGCTCACATACTAAAGTCCCCAGAGGAAAATCAGAGAACAAAGGGTTCGGGGCCGTATGTTTTGCCCCTACCAGCACCCTACCCACAAAGGAGCCTTCAGAGGTGTGCAGCAGTATGCCACGTGGACTTGATAAAAGCCTTCGAGCTTGTCACATGCAGCGGGGCTGCCCAGGTCTGTGTTCCTCCCCAGCCCTCAGACCTGGTACTTGTTGGTGGAGTTGAAGGGGATCTCCACGATCTTGGCGTACTGCTCGCGCATCTGCTTCACGGAGCCACAGCACAGCTCGATGCACTTTAAGAGGGCGGACTCCGAGGCGTCTCCGGCAACTGCCCGCTGTGAACAGACATCACCTGTCAACTACCCTGAGAAAGCCTCACTGAGCTGACCAGGAGGAAAAACACGGCCCGCCAGGGCCCCAGGAAAGTGGGGGAAGGGGGAAGAGGGGCTGACAGGAGTGACTTTATAGGCTAGAGCCACTGCTCTCTGCAGCACGGAGGCTCCAAGGCCAGTCTGGCACCAGCTGTCAGCCTTGTGCCTGGCACAACACGGCCAGGTGAAGCACTCCCCCTTACTCCAGGAAGAATCCTCCCACCCTTCCAACCGATTCCAGCCTGGGCAGTCTCCAGACAGCACCATTCCCAACCAACCTCACATTTCAGGATATGAATCTGAACATCCTGACTGAGCAAGCCATTTGTAGTAGCTTTTGCTCCCTGACAAGTAAAAATGCCCGAAGTTCCCAGGACCAGAGCGGCACTGCCTGTGTCCAGGGCAAAGGAATGGACTTTCTATTCCCAACCCAATTCCGTGGTATGACAGTTATCTGGGCCTGAAGGTCGGGAATGGGAAGCTAATACCGCCTTCCAGGAATAGTCAGGCAGCATTTCAGGTAAAGCCCCAACTCCAAGTAGTACATTCGTACACCAATATTCTGAAAATGTTCCCTGTCGCAAACGGTGTCTAAGGCCGAGAGAAGAAACTCCAAGGTTTCTGAAAAGTTGGCTTGGGGTTCCGGGCATTGTATCTGCAATAATGCCACTGGTGTGGCCCAACCCCTGAGAGACTGAGACCCTCCCCGGGGCTCCAAACTCGGGGGTTGGGGGATGAGGGGGTGAAGGTGGAGAGGAAAGCCTCTGGGTCCTGATTTGAAGAGCCTCGGAAATTTCCACGGAGGTAAAGTGAAACACAGAGGCCTCTCCAACTTTCTCTCCAAGGTAAACAGCACCACCCTCAAGTCAACAGCAATCCAATGACAAGAGAACCTCTTCAAGCGGAAAAGGTTCCTATCCTCAGGGTCAAGGGCTATCTCAGAACATCCAGGCCGCAGCTCCCTGGGCCACTCCGTCTCCATCCAGAGGCAGTGGCAGACAGCTTCATCACTTAGGAGGAAGGAGGGAAGTTGGGGGCCCAGGGGCTGGGCTCTTCTCTTCCTCCTTCTGAAGGACCTTGGGCACCTCGTGACCCCTCTCTGCTACGCCTTCACATGGGTAACACAGGAAAACCTCAGCTGTTTCCAAATTCACGGGAATTCCACGAGGCTCAGCTTATTTCTGCCTCGAGTTTATTTTTGCATCATTAGTAAGCAAGCTAAAGACAAAAGAGAAGCAGGCTGAGCTATTTTAAGAAAATAAAGTGGCTTAAACGATCTACCGGAATCTACCGTACCCCAATAGGCAAATGCAATGGTCGAAGGCACTCACGAAGCTCCTACTGTCAGCTGAGAAAGTGAACTACGGGTCGTACAACCAGGTGCTCCCTCCCCTCCATGTCAGCTTGTGGCAAGACCTGTCTGTCAGAGTAGGGGTTTTCAAGGGCTGGTTTCTCAGGAGATGACTGGCCTTTCCACCAAGATGCCTCTGGGGGACTCAAACCTTCAACCTTTCGGCAGGTGAGTGAAGAACTATCTGTACCACCCAAAGACACCGGACTCTTACAAACCCCACACACTGCCATCGAGTCGGTGCCTGCCGACTCAGGACAACCCGTGGGACAGGGTAGAACTGCCCCTGTGAATTCCCAAGACGGTAGTTCTTTATGGGAGGAGCCTCATTTTTCTCCCACGGTTGCTGGTTGGCTTCAAACTGCTGACCCCATGATTAGCAGCCCAACACATAACCACTATGCCACCAGGGCTCTCACAGATGTTATCAATTCGATTTTCACCAATAAAGCAGGCCTTCCATTCCCTCCTCCTGCTCTGGCCAGTTTTCACTCTTATCTTCTCTCTCTAACCTCTGCAGCCCTGGAGATGTTGTCAGTGCTCTGGGATGCACTTTTGAAGTGCACAATTGAATACAATTGAAGCGAAACACAGTAACAGTGTGCTCCACAGGACCATCACAATGTTCTACAGTAACTGCGAGGTTACAAAAATAAAGTGCTTAAAAAAAAAAAAGACTTCTCAGGTGAGAGTCCGCTCTTGGGTCAAAGTAACAGTGAACACGTTCCACGGCTAGCTTACCTTCAGGATAGGCACATTTTCCTGGTTTGCCTGAAACACCGCCCTGTTACAAAGACCTGCGATTCTGGACAGAGCCATCCAGGTAGCCGAAGTCTTGTCGAACGAGACACCTGGGGGTGGTGAGAAAAAGACAGGAAAGCAATGCAGGAAATGTCAACTACCCAGATTCCGCTTGGAAGTCTATGTCCTCAGTCCTATAAAAGTCTCATAAAAATCGGAAAGGACCCGCTGTCACCGGGGTCATGTTAATACTCCAAACCAAAAACGCCCCCTGAAGCCTTCTTAAAACCAAACTGGTGGAAGGTGACCCAGGAAAGAAGGCCGGCTTGGTGCATCTGCTCTCTGAAGGACGGCCTCCATGGGAGCCGGAGGAGCACAGCGGTGCTGCAGGGGAGGCAGCGAGGGGTTTATGGGGGTGGGGGCCCACGGGACAGCTGAAGGCAGGTGGGCACGGCTGCATGGCAACCAGAGAAGGCAGCCAGGGCCCCCAACTGTACGTGTGGAAACCGGAACTGGCCCGGGCTTTGCTCTGTGTACGTTCTCTGTCACAACAGAGGTGAACTCTGCACACCATGAAGTGATGGACTTCGTTTAAAACCGTACTAAAAAGGAACCAGATTTCCAGAATTCCACCCCAATTATTTTTACAGGGCTGATTAATCTCCATGGACATCTATCTATACAATGAACAAACTGAAAACAAGTATCTCTGACCCTTTCCCTAACGATAAAAATACAGACACCCACCCCACCCTTCTCCCCCAATTACCATAAGCTGAACCGATCTTATCCTTTCTTTAGAGAAAAGATGGTGGGGTGACAAAGGTAGGGGTACCGCGAGCAGGTAAGGCTGAGGTGTGAGGTCTACCGCAGGCCTTACCACTCTGGTTCTCTGTGGTATCAGCTTCATGGATTTGATTGTCAAACCACATGTGGGCCACAGTCATCCGATTCTGGGTCAGCGTTCCAGTTTTGTCGGAACAGATGGTGGACGTGGATCCCAAAGTCTCCACGGCCTCCAGGTTCTTCACTAGGCAGTTTTTCCTTGCCATGCGCTTGGCGGTGAGGGTCAGGCACACCTGAAAAACAAGGTGCCTTTCACCTCAGCCAGACTGGAATCCGACACAACACACAACTCCCCTCCCTTCACCCCGCGCTACCACACCCCGCGAGAAGAAATCTAAATTCTCTCCAACCTTTCCCCACAGTCTGCGGAAACAACGGTCCAAACGTACTGTGGGCTTTAGCCCTCCCTCACAAGAGCTGGGAATGACGACCTCCTGTCTCCCAGCATGGCTCTGAGGCTCCTCCCCTTTCTCCAGGACTACTGCCTCCCCAGAGCAGCACGCTGGCCGTGGGTCCCTCCCTGCCCGGTGTCAGCCAAACCCTGGCGTCCATCAGAAGACGACAGGAGGGGTGGAGGAGGCAGACAGTGACAGGGGTGGATCTGAGTGAGGGCCTGTCCCATGGCCTTCCCCAGGCCTTACCGTGACAGTGGCCAGCAAGCCTTCTGGCACATTGGCTACAATGATCCCGATGAGGAAGATGACGGCCTCCAGCCAGGTGTACTCCAGGATCAGGGACAGGATGAAGAAGGACACGCCGAGGAAGACGGCCACGCCCGTGATGATGTGGATGAAATGCTCGATTTCCGCAGCGATGGGCGTCTGACCCCCTTCCAGTCCAGAAGCCAGCGTGGCAATCCGCCCCATGACGGTGCGGTCCCCAGTGTACACAACAATGCCACGTGCAGTGCCTGGAACATGCGGGAGGGAGGGGCCACCGTGAACCCGAGAAGCCACAGAGCACGCTCCGTTCCACAGCCCCGGTTTTAAAGAGGCAAAGCATACACAGTTAGGGGCCAGTTCCCTGGCTGTTTATGATGTCTGCCTTAAACGGAGACTTTGGCAAAGGGTTCGCCGACCCATCGTCAGAAGGCAGCAGTTTCCATGCTGGAGCTAGTTGGCACTGCCAACGGGAAGTGGAGGGATGAGGAAGAGCAGCCACTCGCTTCCCTGGGTTTCCCCTGCCAACAGTGAGCCACCAGCCCTGCCTGCTCTGTGCTGCCCTGGAGCACTGACAATCCGGAGCCAATGAAACAAGAGGACTGTGTGTGTGTCTCTGTGGTTTAGACACACACGGCTCTGATGCGCGGGTTCATCTCCCCACCCGCAGCAAGGGCGGGATCGGTTCCAGAGGAACCGTGTCCTTTTGCTGTTTCTCCCACTAGTGCCCAAGCCGGAGGCCAGAGGCCACTGCGGCGACTGTCTTAAGGGGTCTACCTTCCACGCAGTTGGTGGAGAAGAAGGCGATGTTCCTCGTCTCCAGGGGGTTTTCGTTTGTGAAATCCGGAGACCTGGTCTGGGGTTCTGATTCTCCGGTGAGGGAAGAGTTGTCCACCTGCAGATGGGAGCGGCCAGCGGGTGAGCGCCTGCTCCTGCCCCGCTCAGGCCCACCAGCAGAGCGACTGCTCACAAGCGGCTCACCTTGCAGCCGTTTGCCGAGATGATTCTCAGATCGGCAGGGATCCGGTCTCCTCCCTTCACCTCCACCAGATCCCCGACGACCACGTCTTCGGCGTTGATGCTCATTTTCTCACCATTCCGGATCACAAGGGCTTGCTTTGGGAGGGAAAGTGTTTTTTCCATTGTTAAACAAGATGCGACCAGATCCCAGCGGGCAGAAGAGGGTGGTGTCAGGGTATGAAAGAATCTAGCACCTAAATTACCTGGACACTCGGCAGAGCCACCACCGGCCACCCTCGGGGCTACCTAAGTCACAAAAAGCCTGTGCCACGGGCACGCCAGTGCTGACAGGCAGACCTCGCACTGTGTGGCCCCCCTTCCCGAGCTTTTGCTCAAAGGGAAGGCTCTCAACATAGGGCTGCGTTGGAGCGGTGTGTGTGTGTGTGTGTGTGTGTGTGTGTGTGTGTGTGTGTGTGTGTAAAAAGACAGAAGTCCTCTCTCTGATGGGTCAATACTTGGAAAAAATCTCCACCAACTCAAGTCCACCCCCAGCCCCACCCCAAGCAAGGGCAGAGTGCTTGATACCTGAGGAACCATGTTCTTAAAGGACTCCATGATCTTTGAGCTTTTAGCTTCTTGATAGTAGGAGAAGCAGCCAGTTATGATGACCACAGCGGAAAGCACCACACCGAGATAGAGCTACAAGGGAACAAGGCGGTCAGGGAGGGCTGGCTCTCCACAAAGAGCAGGGCGCACACGGCTAACGTCTGAGGGAACCCAGCGCAGAACTGTTCCAGAGGTGGAGCGGCACAAATACAGAGCTCGTTCGGCTGTCACGGTGCTCAGTCAAGAGCCGGTGCATGGAGGCGGGTCAGAGACCGGGCCAGGCACGAAGGCACGTGGCCACTGCTCCTGCAAATGCGCCCGTCTTCCTTGCGTTAGGCATGAAAATAAGGATATTTTCCAGAAAGCCCGTGTCTTGGGAAGGCCTACCACTCATGTCTGGACAGGCATGCTGCGCTGACCTGAAAGGCTGGGGGCTCTGCAGCATCAGGGACAGAGCCAGGGGCCGGGCTCTGCTCCTCACCACCGCCCCAGCGGCCGGGAGAGAGGGGCAAGAGACGAGGCGTGGGTCTGGAAGCGCCAGTGGCAGGCACTCCCATCAGAGTAGTGGCCACCAAAAACAATCGGCAGAACAGACTGGAGCTGCCTTGAGGGTCCCCAACAGCCCAAATTAGGAACGACAAAACTCACATTATCGTTTTGAGGGTCCTCTTCTGTGCCAGCTTGGATGCCATAGGCCAAGAAGCAAAGAATAGCTCCAATCCACAGCAACATTGAGAAGCCCCCGAAGAGCTGCCGGCAGAATTTGACCCACTCAGGGGTGGTGGGAGGCGGGGTAAGGGCGTTGGGACCGTCCCGGGCCAGGATCTCTGCTGCCCGTGCGGGGGTCAGGCCCTGAGAAGCAGAGGAGCATTCGTGAGACACTGCACACACCAGCCATTGCCTGCCCACGATCATCCCTCCCAGGGTGCTGGAGAGGTGCAACAAGGTGGCTGCGGGGGGAGCCGTCCCCTCCCAAGCTCAAGAACCGACGCTCGTGCCTCCCTGAGCAGTTCTGAGGAGGGTTCCCCAAGCCGGCGAGAGGCCAAATGTGCTGAGGAGCCAGCCCATGGAGAACGAATGAAAACGAAACAACACACACATTTGGATCTCTTCTTTACATCTGGCTCAAGTGATCTGTGGCCAGAAGGATGTATCGTTTAACTCCCTAACTCATTTTCTCAAAATAAGGGTTTGGAGGTGGGGGGACACCCACGAAGAGCAGAGCAAAACGTTTTAGGGAACCCAACCTATTGGATTAACAGCACGTGGTGAATCAGAGAGCTTTAATGGGTCAGATGACCCTCAGATCACTGGTGTGGGAGGGAGGACCATGGTCTTGCTGGGCCCCAGCACCCCTGAAAATTCAAAACAGTGTTCACTGACATCCTCCTGGCCTAGGGCCTCAGTATTTGCTGATGAGCCTTCTAGCGTTAAAGGTCTATCTACATGGAATCAATTGACAGCAGCAGCTATCAGCTAGGAGAGCCCCAGGGGCAAGGAGCATCCGTGTAAGTGGGGGTGAGTCTCTGCCCAAGCCAAAGGAAGTAAACATGATCACTCAACTGCCCAGGTGAGGACAGTTACATTGGTGCATGTTTCGCAGTGCATGAAAAAAAAAAAAAAAGAGCCAGGGAGACAGTTGGATATATGGCTCCCATTAAAAGAGGAAAAATATCATTATGTCCTTTCATAATCAAAATACCAACTCAGGGAAAACTGACTTATTGGAGGAAGGCAGGTGGGAGTTGTCCCCGAAAGATTTGCTTCCAGGAACTCTGCCCCTATGTACATTTTTAATGCTGGCGAGGACTGTGGGCTAGGAGGAAAGAGGGGGTGGGGGTGGAGGAACAAGGACTTAGGGGGCCATTGGCTGCCCCAAGTTCACGCCAGGCTACCCCAGCTGGAAGCTGATCTTCGTGGATTCTGGGCTTTAACATTTTCAGTTCTCAGACAGCACTTGCTGGGCAGACTCTCAGCATGTGAGTAAGTGACCTGGGGTCACAGAGGAGCAACTTCAGAGGATTCTAGTCAAAGCCCAGGGATGGGATGCAGTGAAGTGCGTGGAGGCTGCTGGATGGGCAGGCAGGCAGGCAGGCAGAGTGACCCCTGCCCCAGAGTAATCAGGGTCTCCTCTTGGACTGCAGATCTCGAGGCAGCTTGACCCCTCAGAAACTCTGGATGCTTTGTCTGACTGCTAATGCGTAGTTCAGCGCTCGCGTGTTAGCAAGGATGTACAAGGAATGGATCCCATCTCTATTTTTGTACTGTTTAAGCGAATTTAATATGGAAATCCCTAAGGTAAATGTATATAACACGACCTTATTACAAGGTCTCAGCATTTTGTGCAAAACAAGTTACAAAAAAGAAAATAAAAGAATCACCAATGTCTGACCTACTCTAATGATAAAGCTGGAGAAAAGGCAAAAACTGAAAGTGTCAATGAGCGAGGGAGGGAGGGGAAGTCGTGAGCTGGAAGGTGGATACGTGATCCCTCGGGTGAAGGACAAGCAGTGTGCAATGAGGAGGGGCTTGGCTGACAATGAGCGCAGCAGGGGAAGATACTGGGAGGTTTGCAAAGGTTCAAAGGCAACAGAGGCAAATACTGTTAGCCAGACAGACCTCCAGCAGTGGGGATCTGTGAGTGGAGGCTGGGAAAGACACACAGGCTGAACAGGTATGGCAGGGAGTACACCCAAAGATATATATACATTCGACAGGGTATACTTATATAGATGTATTTACCTTTGCTGCAAATATGCCTATGAAATGTGGAGCATATGGGGAAGTTATGAAACCTTCTAAGACAACCAAGCACATTGAGGGCCCGAGTCCCTGGGCATGGGGGTCAGGATCATAGTCTTGGGTCAATCGGGGTGACATATTCACAAAGGCACTGTGATGGAGCTAAAGACTGAGATCTGAACGCTTGTGAGCAGTCATTTAGGGTGGCACTGGCCTGTCTCTAACGGGAGGAGAAATGAGGGATGAAAACAGAAAGGCATATGGAAACATCTCCACCACCCTGAGACCAAAAGAACTGGGTGGTGCCCAGCTACCGATGCCTCTGCAAGGGATCACATCAGGGCCCGGACAGAGCGGGAGGAAAGTGAGGACCCTAACTCAAAATCCTAAGAGACAAGGCTTAAAGACTGGTAGCCCCCAAGACTACCGCCCATGAATCCCCCTTCCAGTCTGGAGCTGACCTCGCCTTGTTAGGATGATAAACCCCCACACACCCAAAGGCAAAGTTCAGAGGGCCAGGAGAGGAGGGGGAATGGAGATCAGAAACCAGGGGAGAAGTGGAGGTGCACTGAGGGCACTGTAGTGAGTATGTGAACGGACTGTTGTGTTGCAAGTACAATGAACGACCGGCTCTATGAATCGTCACTGCAACCATTCATTCACAATAAAGAACACAGGAATGTTCTTACAGATTCAAAGAACTGAAACAGTCCATTCAATCTAGCAGGTGTAGGAAAATAAAGGGATGTGTCTACCAAAGGTCATGGGCCCATTAGACCCTACTCCTGCACTGCAATTTTAAGTTCTTGAAGGCGGGGAAAGAGAAAGTTAGGGGTCCTCGCTGGGTCTGTGCCCGTCAGAGCAGGTACTCAGCTGGCTGCTGTCATGATCCTCTCGCAGAGGGCCCTCCTGGTGAACCCCGGTAGTGTAGTGGGTTACAAGCTGGGCTGCTAACCACAAGGGTAGCGTTCAAAACCACCAGCCACTCCATAGGAGAAAGATCAGGCTCCCTAGTCCCGTAAAGAGGTACAGTCTTGGGAACCCACAGGGGTAGTTTCTACCCTGTCCTATAGGGTTGTCCTGAGTCGGCATCGACTCAACCAACAGTGGGCTTTTTTGAGTCCTCCTGTGATCGGGGCAGAGTGGGGCTCCGTAGAGAGGATCTGATGTCAACACATACTCGGCTCAAGTCTGTTCCATATTTGCGATGAAGTTCATCAAGGCTAAGTTTATGGTCATCCTAAGTGAAAACAAAAAACAAAGAAGAGAAATTAAACAGTGCAGCCTAACACGCAATGCCATGGTTAATGCTATGAATATTGTGTCTCCAGTCTTTATAACATCAGTAACAGTTTTCTTCATGCACAAGTGGGCAGGCTTTTTCACTTGGACGGCTGGCCTCTGTGACAGGCGTCCATGGTTACCTGTCCCGTCACTCCAGTGAAGCACAGACACATTTGAAATCCAGGAAAGCCTCGTTTCCGCTCTAAGGACACCAGGTAGACTTGCAACAGGTTAAACCTGTGAAGTTCCTGTTTTCAGCATGACACAGCCAGTGGGCAAACCAGAGGCCCGTGAAATCCATCAGCGTTCCTTCTGTGGGTTTTTGGTGATGGCCACAGCCATTGAATAACGTTCCCACCCTCCCCCCACCCCCAGCAGCTCCTCAAGGAGGCCTGGTGGCGGTGTGGGTTAGGTGTTAGGTCGTTAGCCTGCAGTCAAGTACTTCAAACCCAGCAGCCAAACAGAGAGAGCAGAAGAGGCTATACAAGCCTACAACCTTGAAAATCCTGCAGAGGGCGAATGAGTCGGAATCTACTCAGTCAGAGCTTTTTAGCAGCTTCTGAGCTGAATTCCTTTCAACAGCCACCTCTGCCTCTCTTACCTGCCTGCCAAGGCCTCTTTGTTTTTAAAATAAAGCCAAGTCCCTGGCTGAAGACTATAGAGGGAACCATCTCATCCTCAAAGATGTGGCCCAAACAAAGGAGGAAAAGCAAAGCTCCCCGCTGAGCACGCACCATCGACACTTCTTTCTTCAGCTCATCCATGTCCTTCTCCTTCTTGGCCTTCTTCTTGTCACCATGCTCTGAAACCGCCGCAGGTTCATATTTGTCACGTCCGACCTGCAGGAGGAATGTGGGGAGGGGCAGACTGTGAGCGACACACCGCATCTCAAAACGGAAGGTTTGGGAGCAACGGACGTATGAGTGGTGTTTCGGGCAGCCAACCTTCAGGACGGTCCCTGGGGCCACGCATGGGGACGTATGTGCGCGCGCTTCACGCTCACCAATGCACTTGACTATTAATACCACTGTCCCCACGCAAGGGCGTTCGGCCCAGTGGGAAAGTCACACGGCCTGGGGCTGGGTCCTGCCAGGGCCGAGGCCACCGGGCCAGTGAAGACCCTTACTGTCATGATCCCTCCCCACCCCAGCCCACTCCCCGGCGAGAGGGAGCCGTCTCCCTCGGGGACCCAGGGAAGGGGCTGGGGTTTTGGTTTCATCGGCAGCTCTGCGGAGGCAGTTCACACCTAAACATCTCTAGTCCTCGCTTGGACCCTTTCATCTTTTTTCAAGAATAGAAAAACAAGTAACCGAGTCTTTAAAATGCCTTCAACAAAACCAGAGAGTCCCCATCCCAAGCTACAGCCGGAAGATAAAAGCCCCCCAGTGAAATGTTCTGACCTCCGCAGGACGTAGGGAAAGCATGTGCAGATTCACACAATTCACAGGAGCCACCCACGCCTCTTGGAAACTGGCACCATTTTTTCAAGAAAACGATCCCATAGTTTAAATTTAGATTGTTCCACTCCCTCCACCCGTTGAAAATGCGTGCCTCCGTCGGCACGTGGTGGCCCAGAGCTCAGACAGGGGAGCGGAGATAGAGAGACCCTCACCAGACACCCCTCCAATGAGGGGGCTCCCCCCACCACAGGGACACTCTAAGAACGGCATGTGAATTCGGGCGACATGCGGTGCGAGTCCCCTGGATGCCACTTCTAACTTCCCAGAGCACATTGCCCGCCAACAAAGTGAACACGAGGCCTTCTTGGGTTCGGATCATTAAAGTCACGGCGTGCCCCCCGGATGGACGCGAGTCAGTTGATGCGGTTGCTGAGAAACACAGATGCAACTTGCAGTTGAAAATACCCTCAAGAGTCCTGGTAGGAACGCCATTCCAACCTCAGTCGTGGCCACCCACTGTCGTGGTCCCGTCTGGGGTGGCCGTTACTTGAGAAGCTCGGTCTTATCTGAGAATGAAGCAGGTCTAAAGATAGTGAACGTTCCTGACATTCTCTGCCCGGCGCGCAGGCACCCGGGTGAGTGGCTCTTTGCACAGTCCTCAGTGCCAGGCTGGAAATGGAAAAGTCGTGCACCCTGAAAGCCACAGACAGACCGGCCTCCCACCAGGGAGCAGCCACAGTCCAGAGTGGTCTCTCCCTCAGCTACTGAAGAGGGAAGCACCACACTCAAAAGTCCTCTTGGAAACGTCGGTGAAGGGTTGCGGACGGGCCCATGTGGCTGGTGTGCATTGATTTTTAAAGTGGGAGTTCATGAATTCCCTTTAAGCAAGTGGGGCAGGATTAAAATATATTTAATTTAAAGATGGACAACCCGGTGTGAACGCCTCCCTGCTTCACCATCTGCATGCGCCAATGATTCTCCGACTTCCAATGCTTCCCACTTCAGTAGAGGGGAGGAAATGATTGAAGCCATGAAGGCTTGGACACCTTCCGAAGTCTCATCCCCACTCACAAACCAGGCTCGCCTGCAGCTTCCCAGTGATCCACAGCAGTTATTGGGGATTCAGATTTCCTCAACGCTCCCCTTTCCTCATCCAGTCCTGCGACATACATAAGGCACGGTTTCAAGCGAGGCTACTTGTGAAAGACACAGGGGAAGAATTAACACGCGGAATCTCTTCAAAGATGCTGATTTTTTCACTAGGCAATGCTTGCTTGGTAGAAGAAACAGGCGATTTATGAGCCTCTGGTCCTTCCACCCACCAGAAAGCAACAGTTCTAGTTTATCTTGCCAGGGACCAGTGACCGAAGTCTTAATCACCCCCAATGACTACAATCCACAGCAGAAAAGGTCCGTGTGTGTGTGTGTGTGTGTGTGTGTGTGTGTGTGTGTGTACACTGGGAGTGAGGCAGGGGCAGGGTTAGAAGGTATGACAGGTGAGCAAGGGTAAAAACAAGGTTCAAGAACAGGTGAGGACGGTTTCATCAACAATTTCTTGTAAAAGCATTTGGGGGAAACGCTAATGTCACTGACTCCCAGTACCTTCCAACACTGGGGTGCTGACTCTTGGTTTTTCAACCGGAAGACTCTGATCCCCCACTCATCTACAAAGGACTGGGCGTTGTTGAGTCGTATAGTGCTCTACTGAGAAAAGGCACCGTGGAAGTCCAAAACACACCCTACCTTACTAGTGGTTATTGAATTACTTGCATTCACGACAATAGAGGGGGGGAAAAAACCCCAAACTCTGAATATTTGGAATGCACTGGCCATGTGCACATCTAGCAGTCACAAGGAAGGTGGAGTCGCTGGTGGGTAAAGAGGACAGCTCCTAGTATTTCACTAGCCAGGGGGGAGCAGGCCAGTACATCCTCGAGCCCCCAGGGTGCTGGGCAGTGAAGGAAAGCCGGGGGCTGGGTCCCACAGAGGACTGAGATCAGGGCAGTGGCGGCCAGTGTACTGAAGGTGGGCTGCTTTCAGGGTTGGGAAGGGGGACTTCCGGTCTGGCTCCAGCGAACGGCTATGGTCAGGAGCCCCACCAGGGGTACTTGGCAAGAAGGTTGACTACCACCAATGCCAGCTGACCAGGCCCCTACGCTTCTTTGATAGGTAGGGTCTTGGGTGACTAGCAGGTGTAGTTTAAGGTCAAGAGCAGAGGCTCTAGGCCGATTCTCATGGGGACCTAAAGGTGGAGGAGGAAGGGACACCTAGCAAGGGCCAAGAGATGCCTGGGTGATAAGGCAATGGGTGGGTGGGGGAAACAAGTGACATGTGCACATACTTTAATGGTACCTAGGCCACCCTGCCCTTGGACACGGAGCCCCCTGCCCCAGGGAACGTCAACAAGGGGGTTTTGGAATTGTCGAGGGGATGAGCTGGGGGGATCATCTTGAAGACACGGGTGAGGGGTAACAGGAGAGGGAGGAGTTCCCGGGATGGTTGTTGGGTGGGGGAAATCAGTCTTGGGCTACCCTCCCCTGTGGCAGCAAGGTGACGTCGGGGCGAGGAAAGGAAGGTGGCCTCAGCTGAGTCTGGCAGGAAATTCAGTCTAGGTCCCAAGGGTTAGGTGAAATGGTCATCCTCCAGTTATATGGAGCCAAGCCCCACACGGCGGCCTGGCCACTGGCACCTGTGGGATCTACCCGTATGCCCTCCAAGGGCCACTTGTGAGAATGAAGTGGCGTTGGTTAGAAGAAACAGGGAAGTCCCAGCAGGGTGGCTCAGCTTAAGATATGTCATGACGTCATCCTGCACTTCCCAAGGATCCCAATCTCTCACAGCTTCACTGGGTGTCCACTGCCACGTCATCTGAGTAGAAGGAAAAGGGGGCCTAAGAGAGAGGACAACTCCTCCCAGGCGACTGTCAGGTTGAAAATGTGCCACAGGCTTGAAGCATCTGAAAACACAAACCAAATCCTTCTGTGAGACCTGCGAGGGCTAAGACAACCTTCCCCTCTTCAGAACTGACACGTAGCATGGAGTTTGGTTTTTAGTTCTCTTCTTTTAAATCATTTTATTGGGGGCTCATGCAACTCTTATCACAATCCATCCATTCATCCATTGTGTCAAGCACATTTGTACATTCACTGCCATCTTCATTCTCAAAATATTTTCTTTCTACTTGAGCCCTTTAGTTCTCTTCTTTAGAAACTAGGTTTTACAAGGAGGATGGGGGTGGGGTAAGGGTGGGAACAGGTACAACAGGTGTAGGGATTTCCCTCAAAAAAAGCAGTCATAACAAATCCATCGGCACGTGCGTTTAAGGGAGAACTTTTCATCTTCGAGCATGTTGCCTGAAGTCTGAACAAACCGGCCCTGCCACCAGTAACTCACTTCAGCCTTCCTCCTGCCCAGTTGGACGGCTCCGCAGGCTCTCTCCGTGGTGCATGATGGATTTTTGTCTGGCCACGGTTCACAGCCCATCAGGACACTGATCCGAGACCAGCAGGGAGCCCACAGGTCTTCAGCTTCCGGAGCTTCCTGCTCAAGGAGCCTGAAGAGTACCCGAAGGCCCCCAAGACCTCTGCCAAGTCCCCAACTCTCTTCTGACAGGGGCCGTTGACAGTGTTTTTAGGTCAGCCCCACATCACCTCACTTTGCTCATCCAAAACATGGGAATCGCAACTGGTATGTATGTATATGTATATATAGATATCTATCCATAAACCTCTGCTGGTCTACCCTGGTGGCTTGTGCATCCATTCTTACGGGGGCATAGAGGTGGAAGGGGGCAGTGGGCGGTGTTTTGCTCTGTTATACACAGGTGACTATGAGATAGATACAACAGCACCTCAGGGAAGATTCGAAAGAAGCATCCAAAGCCTGTCAACAAACAAACAGAAAGCTTCTACTAGCAACCAGGGCCCAAAGAGACAAAGCAGTACATGGCCTCAGAGCAGCCCATTGCAGAGCTGTCCAGGGAGGTGGGGCTCCATCTGGCAAATCCAGCCTTTGCAGGGAGGCTGCGGCTGTTCTCTTGACTCTTGTCCTGGGCACTGCCCGGTCTGTGCTAGAGCTCCTGTTATTTAAGTACCCCCTCCTCCAACCACATACACACGTTTGTGGGGAGACGGAGGGAGTGGCTTCTCAATTTCCCTGGGTTACATATTAGAAAATAATTATCCAACCCAATTATGTACATAAAGGGCTCTGTAGAAATGTGACTAAGATTATTATAACTTGGCTTCAATGAGCAAAAATTACTGCCCTCCCTTACTGAAAACTTTTTAAAACTTAAGTGAAAACTCACTGGGGATACTTTTAAAATTTCAGCTCTTTAAGTAAATCAAAGAATATGTATACCAAGGGATGATGGTGCCCAATTCTTCTTATTTAAAATCACTTTATTGGAGCTCGTACATCTCATCACAATCCATCCATCCATCCATTGTGT